TTTTAGCTCCTCCTTCCCCATCACTACTTGATCTTGAGAAAGATTTAAATTGACTCTGACCACAACTGGAATTTTGCCAAATGAAAATCCTTTTATTCATCTCTAGTCAACTTTTTTTTTATCATTTTCCCCTAAAATAGCCATGTAAAACTTTCCCATTCCCTTTAAGCCCCAACCACTTTAACTCACAAGAAATGTCTTTGCCCTTAACTTTTATTTGATCCTATACATTTGAAGAGAGCGAACCACCCTCCAGTCTTCTATACCTCAAAATCTCTATATCTTTATCCATTCTTTTTTTCTTTTCTTCTTATCTGGTTATCCTATTTGCCAAGGCTCTCCTTTTTCTGTGCTCAACTGCCATTTCTTATGATGTAATAATATTATGTTACATTCATATCAGTCAGCAATTTTTTTAAGTGCCTACTATATGCCAGGTACTGTGATAAGTCCTGGGGATACAGGACTTCCCTCAAGGAGCTTACAATTTAGTGGGAGATGACAATATGCAAATAAGAAGCTGAAAAGTATGTAAGGTGGACATGATGGCCAAGGTCAGAGGAATGCAGGAGGGTGACTTAGCTTGGTAGAAAATGAAGAGATGACTCTGCCCTCCAGCCAAAGAGTTGAAATAAAGGGGAAGAGGATACTAATGAAAGTGATTATGAAGCAGATTCAATCTTGCAGAATAATGAATTTCCCAATGATGAGAATCCTGGAAAAGGAAGGCATGATGGAGAAGTCCAATGAAGTCCCAACCCATCTACTCTTAGCCCTGTATATGTACACATTGTCTCTCCTATTAAAATGTAAGCTCCTTAAAGGCAAAATTATTTGCTTTTGTCTATGTAAGACCAGTGCGTAATACAATGCCTGTCACAATTACTAAGGCAGACATTTAACAAATGCTTGTTGATTCTTTGATAATCTCTCTTCCACGCAACACTTTTTCAAATACTTGAAAATTTTCATTTTCTGGGCAGCTAGGTAGCACAGTGGATAGAGCACTGGCCCTGGAGTCAGAGGGACCTGAGTTCAAATCTGGTCTAAGATTAGACACTTGACACTTACTAGCTCTGTAAACCTAGGCAAGTCACTTAACCCCAATTGCCTCGCCAAAGGAAAAAAATTATCGTTTCTCCTTAAGTCTTCTCTAGTACAAATGTTTCTAATTCCTTTAGCCACTCTTCATATGGCATACTTTCAAGGTCTTTCACCATCACCTGCAACCTTCTTTGGATGCTTCTCAGATTATCTGGGTAACCAATAGATAAATCAAACCCTCTCTGAAGCACAGATTTCTCATCTCTATAATGGAGTAAATAGTTCTTATACTACCTTCCTCATAGGCAGAAAAAAGTGCTTTGTAAACCTTAAAGAACTATAGAAATAATGTTATTATGGTCTAGTTAGGAAGACAGGACTAAAAATAAATTGTATATCACAGAATATTATAGATGAAAGAGAATTTAGAAATTATATAGTCTACTTTTTTTTTTGTATGTGTGGAAACTAAAAATACACGAAGAGGCTAGGGTGAAAAGAGAATGCAAATAGAAGGAATAGTGAAGAAATAAGCCTGTAACATCATGTGTCTCTTTATATGTAAAGTATAAAACTTTCTTTCAAGGAATTTGTAATTTGACATGAAGAAAAGTATGTACTTTAGGAAGTATAACTCAATAGACTCTGAGATGAGTGCAAAGGAAAAGCATAGTGCTACGATACATTTGGAAAGAGATTACTCTCATTTGTCAAAGATCTGATTCTCATATCTTTCATTAATACCCTTCTGGATAATTTCGTTAGTCTCTCACCATATGCTTTCTTGAATGTTGAGTGAATATAAATACAAATAGCTTAGTATACCCAGCAAGCCTCAGAGCAGCAGAAAAGGCCATGCTTCATATTCCATCTAGCTTTCAACCATGGCTATCTTGCCATCCACTCAGCTGCTGACCTGCTTCTCCCAAATTAAGATATCACCTCCAGAGTATACCAAACCATTAGAAAAAAGTCCCCTTGTCCTTGGAAGAGTTAATTCAGTCAGCTTTGGAACTTCTGTCCTGAGCCAGATTGGTGAGTGAGCACAAACCCATGAGCCATCCTGCCATTTATTCTGCTGCCTCCTGCTTACTCCCACACACTTGGGGTGGGGGGTGGGGCTACAGAGAGGATGAGCACTTCTTGTGTGAGGGCTTGCCAAGCCCTTTTCAGGGCTGCTTTTCCACCCTTGACATCCACCTGTCACCCAACACTCACTTTTGGCTCCAAGAAGCTGTAGCATGTGCAGCAGTCAAATCCAATTAAACCATCTCAGCAGAGGTGCTAAACCAGGTTGAGGGTTACTGAGAAGCCTCAGACCTGTCAGTGAGTTATGGGGGTGTCTACCCCAAGCATGTGAAGACTTCTTTGATGGAATAGGTGGATGAGAACAATTTGTTCCATTCACTATGAAGGCAGCTAAAGAAGGTGCTGTGGATCATTTAGTGCTTGGTCAGACATCAAAGAAGCCAAGGTCATCCACAACACCTTGGGCTATCACCCATTGCCAGTCATCCTGACTTTTGTATTGCCACTGGATTTTGATGACTCTGGAAGAGAGAGTAAGGCTGATTTTGCACAACTGTTCCTCATTTAATCCAATTTAACATGCCATGTCGCTGGTCCTCTTTAAAAATGAAAGGACTGATGAGGGTTTTGAGAGGTTGGGACCCCTCAAAAAAACCAAAGTACAAAATGGGCTGTCTGGAATGAATTCACAAACTCAAGCAATCTTAAACCAAGTTGCAAAAAATTTATTGTTACGCTTTTCAGTGGGCAAGAATTCTTAAGGAAACTGCAATCTTAAAACAGTATAGCTAAAGTTTATATAGCATAAAATATGATAAGACGTGTCAAATATGCTAACTAGGTGATTCAGGGTGGGATTAGAGAGTGGTTAAGGAGTAGTCAGTTCTTAAAGAAACACGCACTTGTTGTATCTACTGCGCAGGCATTTTACCCAGAGTTCACTGGGAAAAGCCCACAAAGGTGACCACATGGAGGTGTGGTTTTAGGCCTGCTACATCACTAAGTCAACTAGAGTTCAGGGGTAACTGAGAGTTGCCCAGTCTTCCACCAATCAATGTCTTGTTTGTCAAGATAGATGTAGGGAGTATACTTCTGTCTTAAGTCTAGAAAACAGTTAATGAGGAGCCCAGGATGTAGATAATGAGGTAGGGTGGTAGGAGATAGTCCAGTGGGTAAAAATGTCCTTATGACCCAGTGCAAAGCCAGTTCAAAATACTAAATCCTTCAGGTGCTGTTTGGAACTGCACCAGGGAAAGAGATAAGGGTCTTACTGGGGCCTACTCATGAGTAATTGCTAAGTACAGGGTCCTTGGGCTGGGGAGAAACTGTCAGGGACAGTGTTTCTGAGGCTAGAGAGGAATTGGGGTCCAAGTACAAGCACCCAAACATTAGCACCCAAGCGTAAGCACCCAAGCACCCCAACAGGACCACCACCACCAACTCCCACACACTGCCTTACTCTGGGCTCAGTCATGAAACAGCACTACTATACTACCTGGTTCCTGGAAAGGGTGTGGCAGTTGAATGAATCAGTTCACCATCCCTTAGATCTGTCTTCTCTGGCCACCACTCCCCTAAATGTGTTGTTTCTTCATTTAGAATCCAAGCTCCTTGAGGGTAGGGATTGTCTCATTTTTGTATTTGTAGCACTCTCAGGTAACAGTGGCCAGCACATACAGCTTAATAAAATTTCTGCCCTCTCTTTTCACCTTTACTTCCTTCTTTCCTTCCTCCCTCCCACCTTTCCTTTCCTTTCCTTTCCTTTCCTTTCCTTTCCTTTCCTTTCCTTTCCTTTCCTTTCCTTTCCTTTCCTTTCCTTTCCTTTCCTTTCCTTTCCTTTCCTCTTCCCTTCCCTTCCCTTCCCTTCCCTTCCTTCCCTTCCCTTCCTTCCCTTCCCTTCCCTTCCCTTCCCTTCCCTTCCCTTCCCTTCTTCCTTCCCTTCCCTTCCCTTCTTCCTTCCCTTCCTTCCTTCCCTTCCCTTCCCTTCCTTCCCTTCCTTCCCTTCCCTTCCTTCCCTTCCCTTCCCTTCCCTTCCCTTCCCTTCCCTTCCCTTCCTTTCCCTTCCCTTTTCCCTTTCTTTTTCCCTTTCCCTTTCTTTTTCCCTTTCCCTTTCTTTTTCCCTTTCCCTTTCTTTTTCCCTTCCTTTCTCCAGCAAATGAAGCCCAAATTCCTTATCCTGGAACTTAAGACATGCTACAATCTACTTCACCTTAACATTTCAGTCTATTCTCATAAAACTCCAGGCCATAATTTCTTCATTTCTGTCAAAAGAGCTATTTGCTATATTGCCTCCAACTTTTCCGAAGGTTTTTCCTTTTAAAGTCTAAGATAGATACTGCTATCTCTAATTTTTCTGATTCCTTTCTATTCTAACCCTACTCCCCCCACACCCTATGGCACTTTGTCTGATGGCACCCTTCCTAAACTTTTTACTTTGTAATTTGTGTTAGAATTATTTGCATCCCTACCTTGTTTCCTCCAAATACAGTTACCTTGAGATCAAGGATAATGGCTTTTTCATCTTTCTGTCCCCAGTGTTCAACACAATGTCTTGTATTAAGAAATCATCATAGATTTATACCTGTGTATTGAATTGAATCAAACAAAACTTCCATGATCTGTATTTTAGATATAGATAGCTTAAATTTAACAGAGTTGGATGATATGTATTTCATAAGAGTGTTGCAGTAACTGGTATTTCGAAGTATTCAACATTATCTGTATATTGGAAATATACTATTTTAACACAAAGTAGTATTTTTGGTATTATGATGTAACTAAGGTTATGAAAACTCTCATGTTTTATACTAGAACAGTATGTTGTCAGGGTAAATATATGTATTAGTGGGATGGTGAATAACACACAAAAATGAGTGTTTTGAAAGTATGTGGTTTTAAAATTAAATTCCTTTATTTTTTGCTTGCAGGTGCAATTGAAAACCAGTGTTTCTAGTCAATATGTGATTCGGACACAACCAACCAATAGGTGCCTTTCTACACTAGAATGTGCAGCTGTTGCACTTGCCATCTTGGAGAAAAATGATCACATTCAAGAGGTACCTTGGAGAAAATTATGCTTAGATTAAAGAATGGGCATTTGACTGAGAAAATGTAATTATTTTTGTGAAAATGTAAAAAGAATCCATTGCACTTATAATGTGAGATAGATAAAATAACACATTTATTGTTCCTCACAGTTTATAAAAACATTCACTCCAACAACCTGTGAGGTAGAAATGCAAATAGGATTATTTCATTTTGCATACAATTAAACTAAGGCTCAGAGAGTTTGAGTGATTTGCCCAGTTACTACAGCTAGTAAAAAGCAAAGGCTAGGACTTGAACCCATATCTTTGATTCATTCTAGACTTTCTGCTATATATCTTTTTTTTTTTGGCTAGGCAGTGGGGTTAAGTGACTCACCCAGGGTCACAGAACTAATAAGTGTTATGTGTCTGAGGCTGGATTTGAACTGAGGTCCTCCTGAATCCAGGGCCAGTACTCTATCTACTGCGCCAACGCACCTAGCTGCCCTACTATATACCTTTTGATATAGAGTAGAAGTATAGATAGTACTGTAATTGCTAATGCTTTTCCATGTATTTTAATTACTTTACACTAAGCTATGCAAATAGTTCTTATAGTATACTAAAATGTACTCAAATAGCAAAATATTACATTGAGCCTTTTATGAAGATTTTTCTTCTGCTTGTTGATATTTTTCAGGTTTGCTTGAGTCTGTTTTCTGTCATTCTCTTTTAAGAATTAAGACATTCTACAACAAATGTATTTCATTTTGATCTGATTTTTATTTGAGCACTTTATAGGTTGTCCATGTATCTTATTCATATTTTTTAGAGTATAGAAAAGAAAGATTGATAGAGACTTTGTAGTTAATAGTGACCAAGAGAAGTGCTTGGAAAACATGCCAAGATTAAAATATGTAATCATCTTTTTAATTTTGCTACATCCATGAATTTTGATTATTATCTAGATAATATTTACAAGCCCCAAATAATGTTCCACTGTTTTTTTTTTTGAGGCCTAAATATAATGCACATTTTTAAGCTTTGAATTTTCACATTTAATTTTTAAAAAACTATTTATATTAGCACAATCTTTTTTTTATTTTTTTATTTTTAGGCAGTTGAGGTTAAGTGACTTGCCCAGGGTCACACAGCTAGTAAGTATCAAGTGTTTGGTCTGAGGCTGGGTTTGAAATCAGGTCCTCCTAACTTCAGGGCTGGTGCTCTATTCATGGGCCACCTAGCTGCCCCAAGCACAATCTTTTTTGATCCCTAAAACTTATTGTAAATATATTTCAAGAAGACAAAGGAAGCATAAGGATACTTAAAATGTAGAAAAGAGAGAAAACTGAATCCTTTAAAGTTCATTATAAAAGATGGCTTTTTCTCTACTTTGACATAGAATGAAGATTTTAGCACTTAGTGATGTGATCATTATTGCTATATTTTTTACAATTTAGATGCATCTAGTGTTAACTCATTATATTTTTATGGGCCATATTAGCCATGTATATTACAATATTCTATTTGAAGGATATAAGTCTGGTAATTTAATAAAAGCTTTAACATCATTTGTCAGAAGTATAAATTGATTGAGAAGTAATTTGTTCAAAATACATTATACAATAATAAATTCAGATTGCCTTTATTTTGTTTCTCAGTTTTATCAGCACATTTTCATTTCTGTCCTCTTTTCTGTGGTACGATGCCTGGTACAGCTAGCAATAATTACTCAATGGTAAAACTATCATTGAATTTTGCTCACTTTACAGCACTCTGCCAGTGATGATAAACAAAAAAGGAAACAAAACATGCCCTTTCTATTAGACTTAGTTTTGTCATCTGTGCAATATCATAGAAATGACAGAGGCTGAGAGGCTTTGCTATATGAATCACTAGTGAAGAAAGTGGATACTACCCAGTGACATTGTCAGAAACAAAATACAGTTGTGTCAGTGGCGGTGGTCCTTCATGACCTTGCCAGTGTAGTGGCCTAGGGACAGCTAGGGGGCACAGTGGGTAAAACCCAGCCTTGGGATCCCCTGGGTTCATATCTAGCCTCAGGCACTGTGTGACCTGAGCAGCTCACCTCACCTCTGCCCCATCTTCCTCAACTCTAAATGGATGTTCTAATAATAGCACCTGCCTCACAGGGTTGTTGTAAGGATCAGATGAGGAAATGTTTTTAAAGTATTTAGCATGTCCAGGACGTAGCAGGTGCTAATATAAATACTCATTCCCTCACCTTCAAGATGGATCATATATTCTCCAGGATCATATATTCTAATAGGCTCTCTTGCTGTTTTCCACACTCATCTCCCTTACTTTCTCTTTTTCCTCTCCTTTCACCTAGGAGAGCAAGCTTTACACCGCTGGTGTGATTGAACACTTTCTAGCAGGCGCAGAGAAGCTTTGCTCTCTCAGATGTGAAGTGCAGGCTGCAGGCAGAGCTAGTTTGAGACTGGGACTTGAGCTTCTGGCAACAGTGTTCATCTTCTTGCTGCCATTACCCAAATACTCGCCTTTAAGAAAAAAGAGAAACAACAACCAAAACAAAACATGCACAGCTTCACATAACATCGTTTCCCGTTTCTGGTTTGTGTTTCTTGGGCAACAATATTTGTGAAAGCAGAAGACTGATACCATCTCGCCTAGAAATTTAAATATTCTCCCAACTTTGAAGAATCTGATGAATGATGTGAGGTATCACGAGGATCTGTACTGAATGAACAGAATGACAGTTTCTAGTTGAGGTTTTTCACATGCAATACAGCATCAGTCATGTCATTCTAGAAAGCAATCCATAATCTTGTTTAGCTCTTTCGGAAACAATTATGAGCTTAAAGTGCATCTTAAATGAGTATCTCAAGGATGTTCTTCAGTTTTTATAGCCTGTTTAAATGGAGGTTTCTCTGATATCTGAAAAGTACCAGCCTCCAATTCACTGTTGATTCCTTGAGTGTAGTTGAATAAAGCATAGTAAATAAAATTGGAGCTAGTATGCACTCTTGCTTCTCAAAAAGTTGCTGACAAGGGGCAGCTAGGTGGCGCAGTGGATAGAGCACTGGCCATGAAGTCAGGAGGACCTGAGTTCAAATCCGGCCTCAGACCAGACACTTGACACATACTAGCTGTGTGACCCTGGGCAAGTCACTTAACCCCAATTGCCTAAAAACAAAAAAAAAGAAAACATTTCTGACAAGCATGACTGTATGCACATCTTAAGATTTTAGTATGTATTCTGGGCAGTCCAGCGTGCACAGTAGTTGCCAAATCAGCTAATGATATTCCTTTTTTTTTTTCCAGATTCATTAGAACTTTCATTATATTTGCTCAGTGGTCAGATCAGTGTTTTAAGAGTACCAGTTTGGCTGCTGTATGGAAGATAAATCATGGAAGAGTGACTCTAGAGTCAAAGGAACCACTTAGGTGACCAATGACAATAGTAATAGCTAGCGTTGATTATGGTTTGCTGATGACAATGACACATAATGGGAACTTCATAAATGTGTGTTGATTGAAAGGTAGACATAGTATGAATGAAAAGAATGGGATAATTCAGAAGCATTAGGAAAGTAGAAAGACAAAACTTGGCAGTTGATTGGATAGGGGGTGAGAAAAGAGTTAAAGGTGGCCCTGGGTTTGTAACCAGGGTGACTGGGAATGTTCTTGGTGGCAGGTTAGGGTTAAAGGAAACGATGTGATGAGATTCATCTTGGAGATGTTGACTTCAAGTTGCCTATAGCATATCTAAGTGGAAATTAACAACGAGCAGATGGTAATGTGAGATTGAAGTTAAGGAGAGAGTTTGGACTGGAAATATTTAACCATTATCCTCATAGAGATGGTAATTAAACCTATTGGAGCTGCTGTGATCACCAAGGAAGCGAATATAGGTAGAGTAGAGAAGAAGACATGGAACACATTAGGATCAGAACTTAGATGCTGAACTAGCAAAGGAAAGTATAAATGAGCAGTCAAATAGAAAAACTAGTGGAGAACAATGTCACAAATCCAAATGATGAGAGACTGAGTAGAATGAAGCCTGAGAAAAGGCCATTGAATTAATTTTTTTTCTTAAAACATTTTTTTCACTTAAGAAACATTTATTTTCTCTCCTTCCTACCCCACCATGCCTCCAATTTAAAAGAAAAAAAACCAAAGGAAAACCAAAGATTATTGGTAACCTTGGGAAGAGTACTTTCTTTTGAATGGTAAACTGAGAAGCCAGATTGCAAAGCATTGAAAAGTGAGAGGACAATAAGAAAATGGAGATGGAGATGACCCATTTTGGAAGTTTTTTCTGTGAAAGAGAAAAGAGATATGAGATGACTTTCACGAGGGATGTTCAGCAGCATGTGAGTAAGAGCAGCAAAGACAGATGACTCAGCTAGTCTATGGTTGGGGTTTGGCAAGCTGTGACGGACTGATAGTAGGATAAGGGGGTCAAGATATTTAAGAGTAAAGGATAATGTTGAACTGTCACCTCTGAGATCAAGATTGTCAAAAGGAGGAAAGTGAATACAGAAGATTTGAGAAGAATCGAGGAGAGGGTGGCATATAGGGACTAATTCTTCCTTGTCTAATATGTTCTATTTATCTACTTTAAAAAATTTTTGACTAGTAACAAATTGTCTTGATAATTAATACTTTGTACTATAATTTGAGATCTCTAAGTTCTAATTCCCTTTCTTTCTTTTTTCCCTCGTTTCACTTGAGATTTTAGAACTTGTGCTTCTCCAAATGGTTTATGTTATTATTTTGACTAGCAATTTACTATCCCTTTGGTAATTTGAATAATATAGCACTATATCCATATATTATTGAAGGAAGCATCATCATTTTGATTTGTAGCACTCCTCTTTTGGCGCTTATCCAACTTGTATGGGAGTGTATAGGGTGTTCAGGGAGGACTAGCACCTCTGGTGTGGGAGCTTGCCTAGCCCTTTCAGAGCTGCTCATCTACGTTTGGTGTCTGCCTGCTACCCAATTCTCACCTGTGGCTCCTAGAAGCTGTAGCATGCCCAGTG